TTTTGGAATGTGTCCTTGGTCATCCTAAAACGTCTACGGATCTCAGTGTCGCACTTACCGTCTTTTTTCAAGACGGTTCCCAGATATTTAAACGTCTCCGTCTGCTTGATTCTAGTGTTCCCGACCTGCAAATAGAATTTCTGGCTCATCTTCTAACTGTGGGTCGTTATTTTTGACGACTAAAACATTTCCCTAGTATTTCAATAAAATAAAGATAAGAGAATGAGACTGAGAGACAGAGAAAGAGAAGGAAAACAGAGTCCAAGAAAAAAAACGAGAAATTCAAAGAAATAAAGAAAGAAAGAAAGAAAGAAAGAAAGAAAGAAGAGAATGACAAAAAAGAGAGAGAGAGAGAGAGAGAGAGAAAGGGTGAAGAGAAAGATAGAAAATGGTGAAGGAAGAGACAAAAAATACGAGAAAGAATAAGCAGACAATATAACAAGAGAAAAATTTTGAAAGAAAGAAAGAAAGATGGAAAATGAGAGAGGGAGAGAGATAACCAGAAGATGAAGAAAGAAAGAAAGAAAGAAAGAAAGAAAGAAGAGTAAGATGGAAAATGAGAGAGGAAGAGAGAGATAACGAGAAGACAAAGAAAGAAAGAAAGAAATATAGAAAGAAAGAAATGAAAGTTTCAAAATGAGAGGGGAAGAGAGAGATAACGAGAAGAGGCGATAAAGAAAGAAAGATCGAAAATAAAAAGGAAAGAAACCGAGAACGAGAAGAGGCAATATAAAGAAAGAAAGAAAGAAAGAAAGAAAGAAAGAAAAGAAAGAAAGAAAGAAGAGAATGACAGAAAATTAAAGAGAGACAGAAAGGGAGAAGAGACAAAGAGAAAGAAAAAAGATAGAAAGAAAGGGTGAAGAGAAAGATAGAAAATGGTGAAGGAAGAGACAAAAAATACGAGAAAGAATAAGCAGACAAGATAACAAGAAGAGAAAAATTTTGAAAGAAAGAAAGAAAGATGGAAAATGAGAGAGGGAGAGAGATAACCAGAAGATGAAGAAAGAAAGAAAGAAAGAAAGAAAGAAAGAAAGAAAGAAAGAAAGAAAGATGGAAATGAAAGTTTCAAAATGAGAAAGGGAGAGAGAGATAACGAGAAGCGAAGATAAAGAAAGAAAGAAAAAAAGAAAGAAAAAAGTGAAAGATGGTAAAAGAGAGGGGAAGAGTGAGATAACGAGAAGCGAAGATAAAGAAAAAAAGATCGAAAATGACAAGGAAAGAGAACGAGAAGAGGCAATATAAAGAAAGAAAGAAAGAAAGAAAGAAAGAAAGAAAGAAAGAAGGAAGGAAGGAAGAGAATGACAAAAAATTAAAAAGAGACAGAAAGGAGAAGAGACAAAGAGAAAAAAGATAGAAAGAAAGGGTGAAGAGAAAGAGAGAAAATGGTGGAGGAAGAGACAAAAAACGAGAAAGAATAAGCAGACAAGATAACAAGAAGAGAAAAATTTTGAAAGAAAGAAAGAAAGAAAGATGGAAAATGAGAGAGGGAGAGAGATAACCAGAAGATGAAGAAAGAAAGAAAGAAAGAAAGAAAGAAAGAAAGAAAGAAAGAAAGAAAGAAGAGTAAGATGGAAAATGAGAGAGGAAGAGAGATATAACGAGAAGAAGAAGATAACGATAAAGAAAGAAAGAAAGAAAGAAATGAAAGATGGAAAATAAGAAAGGAAGAGAGAGATAACGGGAAGACAAAGAAAGAAAGAAAGAAAGAAAGAAATATAGAAAGAAAGAAATGAAAGTTTCAAAATGAGAGAGGAAGAGAGAGATAACGAGAAGAAGCGATAAAGAAAGAAAGAAATGAAAGATGAAAAACTAGATAGAAAGAGAGAGTTATTAAGAAGAGAATACAAAGAAAGAAAGAAAAAAAGAAGTAAAAGATGGAAAATGAGAGGGGAAGAGAGAGATAACGAGAAGAAGAAGATAAAGAAAAGAAAGAACGAAAATGACAAGGAAAGAGACCAAGAACGAGAAGAGGTAATATAAAGAAAGAAAGAAAGAGAAGAAAAGAGAGAAATCAGAGAGAGAGAAAGAGAGAGAGAGAAAGAGAGAGAGAGAAATCAGTAAGTGATAGAGAGAGACAAAAGGGAAAGAGTGAGAGGGGTGGCTTCTAATGTGCTAAGTAATATTTTGTTACTCATGCTGCTACTGCTACTATTGATGATGTTGATAAACTCTTGAGATGCCAGTTAGATGACAACAATTAATGACCAGATCGACAACAATATTATTTTTATGGGGCCCGAGTGTGGTAAGGAAAGTCGAATGTGGGAGGTTTTTAGACCCTGCCGCCCCCGTCCGAGCCTAAACCCTATCATTGATACGCGGAGTAATAAAATCCGGAAAAATATTCGTATCGCTTGAATACAGCTGAGCATGTCAACAGAATAGGTCTGTATAATATATATATATATATATATATATATATATATATATATATATATATATATATATATATATATATATTCTTCTCGTGGGAATTTTTGGATTTGTATAGGTGCGTATATGCAACTGAGTGCGTGTATTTGCACGCCCCTTCCTGTCTGTAAGTTTTGGTATGAGTCACGGTGTGACACCCTGAGTGCATAATTCGTATATATAATAATGCAATTGTTAGTGAGTTATAATAATCCATTCCGATGTAGAGATGAGCGTCTCTATTAATGGGGGAGGCAGTGGGAAGCAGGTCTTATGAGTACTGTGTGTGTGCGTGAGTTTTTGTATGTGTGTGTGTGTGTGTGTGTGCGCGCATTTAAAGAAAGAAACGTAGAATGAAAATAAAATAAAACAGACCCGAAAAATTAAATGAAGAAAGAAAGAAAGAAAGCGAAGAAAATAAAACAAATCTGAAGAATAGAAAGAAAGAAAGAAAGAAACAAAGAAACAAAAAAAGAAACAAAGAACAAAAGAAAAAAAAAGAGAAGAAAATAAGTCAGTTACGAAAAGGAAAAAGAAAAATGATGAAAGAAAGAAAGAATGAAAGAAAGAAAATAAAATAAATCCGAAAAGGAAAAAGGAAAAGAAAGAAAGAAAGAAAAAGAAGTAAATAAAACAATGCCGACAAATAGAAAGAAAAATGACGAAAGAAAGAAAAAAAGAAAGAAAGAATGAAAATAGAGAAAAGAAAGAGAAGAAAATAAATCAGATACGAAAACGAGAAAGAAAAATAATGAAAGAAAGAAAGAAAGAAAGAAAGAAAGAAAGAAAAAAGAAAGAAAGAAAATAGAAAAAAGAAAGAGAAGAAAATAAATCATATACGAAAAGGCGAAAGGAAAATGATGTAAGAAAGAAAGAAAGAAAGAAAGAAAGCAAGAAAGAAAGAAAGAAAGAAAGAAAGCAAGCAAGAAAGAAAGAGAAAGTGGACGAAAAAGCGGGAGAAAGAAAGAAAGAAAGAAAGGAAGAAAGGGAGTAAGAGAACAAATTTTAAAAAAAAAGTCCGAAAAGAAGGAATGCCAAAAAAAAAACAAAAGAAAGAATGAAAGAAAAAAGAAAGAAAGAAAGAAAGAAAGGAAAAAGAAAGAAGAAAAGAAAAAAGAAAGAGAAGAAAATAAAACAGATACGAAAAGGAGAAAGGAAAATGATGTAAGAAAGAAAGAAAGAAAAAAGAAAGAAAGAAAGAGAGAAATAAAGAAAGAAGGAAAGAAAGAGAAAAATAAATCAGATACGAAAAGGAGAAAGGAAAATGATGTAAGAAAGAAAGAAAAAAGAAAGAATGAAAGAAAGAAAAAAGAAAGAAAGAAAGAAAGAAAGAAAGAAAGAAAGGAAGAAAGGGAGTAAGAGAACAAAATTAAAAAAAAAAAATCCGAAAAGAAGGAATGCCAAAAAAAAAAGAAAGAATGAAAGAAAAAAGAGAGAAAGAAAGAAAGGAAAAAGAAAGAAGAAAAGAAAAAAGAAAGAGAAGAAAATAAAACAGATACGAAAAGGAGAAAGGAAAATGATGTAAGAAAGAAAGAAAGAAAGAAAAAAGAATGAAAGAAAGAAAGAAAAAAGAAAGAAAGAAAGAAAGAAAGAAAAAAGAAAGAAAAAAGAAAGAAAAAAAAGAAATAATGAAAGAAAGAAAGAAAGAAAGAAAGAAAGGAATGAAGGTAGGAAGAAAGGGAGTAAAAGTACAAAATTCAAAAAAATTCCGAAAAGGAGTAACGCCAAAAAAAAAAAAGAAAAAAAAAGAAAGAAAGAATGAAAGAAAGAAAGGAAGAAAGAAAGGCAGGAAGGACTTTATGAAGTAGGAAGGAAGGTGGAAAGAGTACAAAATAAAACAAATCTGAGAAGAAGAAAGGCAAAGGAAGAAAGGAACAAACAAACCAACAAACAACGAAAGTATACTTGAATGGGCTTCCGTATATGTTTTTATTTTCAGCCAACTGCACTAATAAATTACTCATAAGATCAGCATCTACAGCGTATCAAGTAGTGATTCTTTTACCCTGCAAACAAAACCCCCAACCTTGAATCCAATTAGAGAATTATTTTTTTTTAATGCTAATAAACACAAACTGTCGCCATGGATATACCTTGAACTCTGTCATGCAAAGTTAGGGCAGAGTATTGGAATGGGTTGAAATAGCAACAAGCATCTAAAGGCAGAAAACAATCATGACTCATTACCGACTCTCCTTAACCAATCAAAAAAGACCTGTTGTGTGTTCGACTTTTTCTTTTGCGTTTGTGCATGTGTGTGTGTGTGGGGGGGGGGCTCTCTTCTTTTGAAATATGTATTTTGTTTATTTGTTTATCTGTTCATATGATTTTGATTGCTAAAGTTACAATATCAGGTAAATCAATTAATTAGATATATGTTTTCTAATAGGTTTTACATTTTCTTTTTATGATCTGGCAGATGCGAAGACATTTTGGGGATTCGTTTATTTATTTAGGTTATTTAAAGTTAAAAGTACTTATTAATAACTTGGCTTACTTTAATTCACCTGAGAGGGAAGAGGTGGAAAGAAAAGGCGCAAGGAAGACTGTGTTGTGTCAAATGTTAAAATTTCGGTGTGTTTTATTTTTTATTTGAAAGAAGGTTGATAAAATTTTGAGGAAAAAAAGAAAAACGAAAATAACCAAAAATGCCGAAAACACAAAGAGAGAGAGAGAGAGAGAGAGAGAATGAGAATGAGAGAGTGAATGACAGAGAGAGAATGATAGAGAGAGAGAAAGAATGAGAGAGAGAGAGAATGGGAGAGAGAGAGAGAGAGAATGGGAGAGAGAGAATGAGCGAGAGCGAGAATGAGAGAGAGAGAGAATGAGAGATAGAGATTGAGAGAGAGAATGAGAGAGAGAGAGAATGAGAGAGAGAGAGAGAATGAGAGAGAGGATAAGAGAGAGAGAGAGAATGAGAGAGAGAATGACAGAGAGAGAGAATGATAGAGAGAGAGAAAGAATGAGAGAGAGAGAATGGGAGAGAGAGAGAATGAGCGAGAGCGAGAATGAGAGAGAGAGAGAATGAGAGATAGAGATTGAGAGAGAGAATGAGAGACAGAGAGAATGAGAGACAGAGAGAATGAGAGAGAATGAGAAAGAGGATAAGAGAGAGAGAATGACAGAGAGAAAGAGAGAGAGAGAATAAGAGAGAGACAGTCAAACGGACAGACAAAAGAGAGAGGGATGAAAAGGAAAAAAAGCAAATAAAAAAAGGTTAAAAAACAATTCAAGGAATAAAAGAGAAAGAAGGAAATATCAAAAAAAGAATAAAATTTAAAAGGAAAGAAAGAATATAGAAATAAGTAAAACATGAGGAAGAAAGAAAGAAAGAAAGAAAGAAAGAAAGAAAGAAAGAAAGTAATAAAGGAAGTGATGTGGGGCCAAAGTTGGGACCACAGAAGGAAAACACGGAACACGGATTAGATGTAAGAAAGATATATTAACAACAGGTTACAGAGATAGTGTAAGCGGAGCTTACTATATGTTAGTGTCCAACACTGGTAGTCGTACTGTCACTCTCTGTGTCACTCAGGGTGACTCTCCAGAGTGCTATGTCACTTACTTAATATACGCCTGGAAGAGTTTATTGTGTAGGTAGTTTCTGGTCTCACAATAGGAAGAAGCAAAAACCAAATAAAAAAAGAGAACAGATAACAATCGCAAGAAAGAAAATCAAAGAAAGAAAAATGGGAAGAAAAAAAATGATTAAATGTTGCCCAGATCAAAAAAGAAAGAAGCGAAGATCAAATAAGAAATGAGAATACATCAAAAAAGAAAGAAAAATGGGAAGAAAAACAATGATTAAATGTTGCGCAGATCAAAAACGAAAAAAGCGAAGATCAAATAAGAAAAGAGAGTACATCAAAAAAGAAAGAAAAATGGAAAGAAAAGCAACGATTAAATGTTGCGCAGATCAAAAAAAGAAAAAAGCGAAGATCAAATAAGAAATGAGAATACATCAAAAAAGAAAGAAAAATGGGAAGAAAAACAATAATTAAATGTTGTGCAAATCAAAAAAGAAAGAAGCGAAGATCAAATAAGAAATGAGAATACATCAAAAAAGAAAGAAAAATGGGAAGAAAAACAATGATTAAATGTTGCGCAGATCAAAAAAGAAAGTAGCGAAGATCAAATAAGAAATGAGAGTACATCAAAAAAGAAAGAAAAATGGGAAGAAAATCAATGATTAAATGTTGCGCAGATCAAAAAGGAAAGAAGCGAAGATCAAATAAGAAAAGAGAGTACGCCACATAAGAAAGAAAAATGGGAAGAAAAAACAATGATTAAATGTTGAGCAGATCAAAAAAGAAAGAAGCGAAGATCAAATAAGAAAATAGAGTACGCCACAAAAGAAAGAAAAATGGGAAGAAAAACAATGATTAAAAGTTGCGCAGATCAAAAAAGAAAGAAGCGAAGATCAAATAAGAAAAGAGAATACATAAAAAAGGAAAGAAAAATGGGAAGAAAAACAATAAATAAATGTTGCGAAGATCAAAAAAGAAAGTAGCGAAGATCAAATAAGAAATGAGAATACATCAAAAAAGAAAGAAAAATGGGAGGAAAAACAATGATTAAATGTTGCGAAGATCAAAAAAGAAAGAAGCGAAGATCAAATAAGAAATGAGAATACATCAAAAAAGAAAGAAAAATGGGAAGAAAAACAATAATTAAATGTTGCGAAGTTCAAAAAAGAAAGAAGCGAAGATCAAATAAGAAATGAGAATACATCAAAAAAGAAAGAAAAATGGGAAGAAAAACAATGATTAAATATTGCGCCGATCAAAAAAGAAAGAAGCGAAGATCAAATAAGAAATGAGAATACATCAAAAAAGAAAGAAAAATGGGAAAAAAAACAATGATTAAATGTTGCGAAGATCAAAAAAGAAAGTAGCGAAGATCAAATAAGAAAAGAGAGTACATAAAAAGGAAAGAAAAATGGGAAGAAAAACAATAATTAAATGTTGCGAAGATCAAAAAAGAAAGTAGCGAAGATCAAATAAGAAAAGAGAGAATGGGATCAAAAAGAAAAAAAAAATAAGAAAAATCAATGATTAAATGTTGCGCAGATCAAAAGGAAAGAAGGAAGATCAAATAAAGAAAAGAGAGTACGCCACATAAGAAAGAAAATGGGAAGAAAAAACAATGATTAAAAGTTGAGCAGATCAAAAAAAGAAAGAAGGAAGATCAAATAAGAAAATAGAGTAAGAAAAAAAGAAAAGAAAATGGGAAGAAAAAGAAAATGATTAAAAGTTGCGCAGATCAAAAAAGAAAGAAAGATCAAATAAGAAAAGAGAAAGAAAAAGGAAAGAAAAAAGAAGAAAAAAAATAAAAAATGTTGCGAAGAAATGTTAAGAAAAAAGAAGGAAGATCAAATAAGAAATGAGAATACATCAAAAAAAGAAAGAAAAATGGGAAGAAAAACAATAATTAAATGTTGCGAAGTTCAAAAAAGAAAGAAGCGAAGATCAAATAAGAAATGAGAATACATCAAAAAAGAAAGAAAAATGGGAAAAAAAACAATGATTAAATGTTGCGAAGATCAAAAAAGAAAGTAGCGAAGATCAAATAAGAAAAGAGAGTACATAAAAGGAAAGAAAAATGGGAAGAAAAACAATAATTAAATGTTGCGAAGATCAAAAAAGAAAGTAGCGAAGATCAAATAAGAAAAGAGAGTACATAAAAAGGAAAGAATAATGGGAAGAAAAACAATAATTAAATGTTGCGAAGATCAAAAAAGAAAGAAGCGAAGATCAAATAAGAAATGAGAATACATCAAAAAAGAAAGAAAAATGGGAAGAAAAACAATAATTAAATGTTGTGCAAATCAAAAAAGAAAGAAGCGAAGATCAAATAAGAAATGAGAAAACATCAAAAAAGAAAGAAAAATTCGAAAAAAAATAATAATTAAATGTTCCGCAGATCAAAAAAAAAAGAAGCGAAGATCAAATAAGAAATGAGAATACATCAAAAAAGAAATAAAAATGGGAAGAAAAACAATGATTAAATGTTGCGCAGATCAAAAAAGCAAGAAGCGAAGATCAAATAAGAAAAGGGAGTACATCAAAAAAGAAAGAAAAATGGGAAGAAAATCAAAGATTAAATGTTGCGCAGATCAAAAAAGAAAGAAGCGAAGATCAAATAAGAAAAGAGAGTACGCCACACAAGAAAGAAAAATGGGAAGAAAAACAATGATTAAATGTTGAGCAGATCAAAAAAGAAAGAAGCGAAGATCAAATAAGAAAATAGAGTACGCCACAAAAGAAAGAAAAAATAAGAAAACAATGATTAAAAAGTTGCGCAGATCAAAAAAAAAAAGAAGGAAGATCAAATAAGAAAAGAGAGTACGCCACAAAAGAAAGAAAAATGGGAAGAAAAACAATGATTAAATGTTGCGCAGATCAAAAAAGAAAGAAGCGAAGATCAAATAAGAAAAGAGAGTACGCCACAAAAGAAAGAAAAATGGGAAGAAAAACAATGATTAAATGTTGCGCAGATCAAAAAAGAAAGAAGCGAAGATCAAATAAGAAATGAGAATACATCAAAAAAGAAAGACAAAAGGAAGATAAATGATAAAATGTTGCACAGATCAAAAATGAAGAAGCGAAGATCAAATAAGAAAAGAGTAAATAGAAAGAAAAATAGTAAGAAAGAAATGATAAAAAGATAGGAAATAGTCGCAAAATGAAAGAAACAAACTGTAAAACAGGAAGCAGAATTCTTCATACGCAACTTTACATTTCCTACTGACGTCTTCACTTATCGTTGGCGAGAGTGCATACGTATGCGACCCCAGACGCTCATCTGAATGGGAACGTTAAAATAATCATCAGCGATATCTGAGAGACTGCCCCTTTTAGCGTTGCAATCGGTCTCTATATATCGATCTAAGTCATGCGACTTTTTCACCCAACCGTAAAACAAGAAAACAAGAACGAATTAAACTAACAGATAAATTTCCACATTTTCTTCCGAAAGAACCGATAATTGCAAAACGATTTTCTTTTTTTGTTGTGGGGGGACATTATCATAAAGACGAACACCAAATTTTTATGTTAAAATATGAATTTTGGGCTATATTCACAGATATTCTCAAGCCTTGATAAAACAGTGACATTGTATATACACACGTGCAGCGAAACAAATCGTGCATTGTTTCAAATTTGATCTTCAAAATTATAATGCAATGTCAATCGTTATCTACTGTCTTCTTTGATTCCTCTTCCTTTTATTGTTCTCACTTCGCTTGTGGAACTCTCTTCCGGCTTCATGCTTTCCAGCCAACTTTGATCTTCAAAATTTAAATGCAATGTCAATCGTTATCTACTGTCTTCTTGATTCCGCTTCTCTTCCTTTATTGTTCTCACTTCGCCTGTAAATGGAACTTATCTCTTCCGGCTTCATTGTTCTTTCCAGCCAACTTTGATCTTCAAAAATTTAAATGCAATGTCAATCGTTATCTACTGTCTTCTTTGATTCCTCTTCCTTTATTGTTCTCACTTCTCGCCTGTGGAACTCTCTTCCGGTTTCATGCTTTCCAGACAACTTTGATCTTCAAAATTTAAATGCAATGTCAATCGTTATCTACTGTCTTCTTGATTCCTCTTCCTTTATTGTTCTCACTTCTCGCCTGTGGAACTCTTCCGGCTTCATGCTTTCCAGCCAACTTTTGATCTTCAAAAATTTAAATGCAATCTCAATCGTTATCTAGTGTCTTCTTGATTCCTCTTCCTTTATTGTTCACACTTCTCGCCTGTGGAACTCTCTTCCGGCTTCATGCTTTCCGGCCAACTTTGATCTTCAATAATTTAAATTCAATGTCAATCGTTGTCTGCTGTCTTGTTGATGCCTCTCCTTTTATTATAATTACTCCTTAATAATGTTATTTTTTCATATTCTTTGACACTCAGTAACCCCTTGTGTCTTAGTGGCTTTGTTGCCTTCATTTATGGAATCTATTGGACTCTATTTTGAATAATAAAAATTTAGCTCTAAGATGAAATCATGAGCCGTCTTCCTGTTGTGATCTCTATATATGTTTAAAGAAAAAGGAACAAAGAGATACCGTTTATGATTTTAAAATGTTTCGCCTTTCTTTAAGCTACATCAGAATTTTTTTAAATGAAGAAAATGATTTAAAACTCTGAGTTCTTTTTTATGTTTTTCATTGAACCTCGTGTGTTTATCTGATGTGATATCAGCGTGTTTAGGTATGTGTGCGTGTTTGTGTGTATGCAAACATTTTCTTGTAGAATCCATTAAGAAAAATTTCTGTCGAAGCTTAACTAAAAGGGAAACATGTCAAATTCATAAA